GAGGGGAAAGATTTAAGCAGGACCTGAGGGGCAACTTCTTCACACAGAGAGTGATGCGTGTATGGAATGGGCTGCCAGAGAAAGTGGTTGAGGTAGGTACAATAGCAACATTTAAAAAACATTCGGATAAGTACATGGATGAGAAGGGTTTAGAGACATATGGATCAAATGCGGGCAATTGGAACTAGCTGAATGGGCACCATGGTCAGCATGGACCAGTTTGGGGCAAACGGCCTGTTTCCATGCTGTATTACTCTATAATTCCTCGACTAATTTATTTAAATACTAGATAATATCCAAAAAAAGAAGAAAGAACTTGGAATAACTTAATTCTATTGGAAAACTTAACAGAATAATAGATACAGTAACTATTATTAATTAATTGTTCCAATGTAGTAACACCTCATAAACACACTTGGCAAAACACAAATTCAGAAAACAGATTTTGTCTCGCATGCAATTCAGCAGCCCAGGTAGAGAACTCCCAGCTTTTGGCTGTTATTGAGAGATGGAAAAATAGCTTTCACTTCTTCCAGATCCCAACAGCAACTGCTGCTGAAGACTTAAAACTAAAAATCCCTGGTTCTGTTTGGGTGGGGGGAGGTTCTTCACCACACCTATTGAGGCTGCTTCTATTGTTCCAGCTTTACAAAAAAACACCCAAGGCTTCACAAGTTGTTTATCTTCTCATAAACTGCTAGGCACCTGCCCTCCACTCACTCTCGTTCTCGCTCTCACACCCTCTCTCTCTCTCAAAGAAACCAGGACAAAACGCCTCTTAAAGCCGCAGCATCATCACATGGGTAGACAGCAATGTAGATTAGAAGTTGGAATCAGATCAGCCATAATCTTATTGAATGGTAGAACTGACTAGTAGAGGGGAATGGCCTACTAATGTTCTGATTTATGTGTTTGTATGTATCATTGAGACATAGAAACATAGAAAATAGGAGCAAGCCATTTGGCCCTTGAGGCTTGCTTCATTATTCACTGTGATCATGGTTCATCATTCAATTCAGTACTCGAATTATTAGTTTAATGGCAAAAAATTGGGAAAGGGGGAGGTGCACCAAGACCTGGGTGCCGTTGTACACAAGTCACTGAAAGTGAGTGAAGAAGGCACATTGTATAAAAACCAAAAGAACTGCGGATGCTGTAAATCAGGAACAAAAACAAAGTTGCTGGAAAAGCTCAGTAGGTCTGGCAGCATCTGTGAAGGAGAAAACAGAGTTAACATTTCTGGTCCGATGACCCTTCCTCAGGACGGAAGGCACATAGTATGTTGACCATTATTGTGAGAGGATTTAAGTATTGGAGCAGGGATGTTTTGCTGCAATAATACAGGGCCTTGGCAAGACGATATTTGGAATATCTATCACCATCCCACCTACCTACCCCAGCTCCACCTCTCCTCTCTCTATTTATTTTGGAGCTATCTTCCCCTTCCCCCATTTCTGAAGAAGGGTCATGACCCGAAACATCAACTTTCCTGCTCCTCTGATGCTGCCTGGCCTTCTGTGCTCCTCCAGCTCCACACTGTGTTATCACTGGAATATTGTATGCAGTTTTAGTCTCCTTATCCAAGGACCAATTTCCAACTATGGAGGAAATACAACAAATGTTTACCCCTTAATTCAAGGGATGGCAGGACTGAAGTTTGAAGAGACTGGATTGGTTAGGACTATATTCACTAGAGTTTAGATGAATGGGAGGGGACTTTCATAGAAACATATGAAATTGAAACAGGATGAAAAAGGGTAAATAGAGGAAGGATGTTCCTGATGGTTGGGGAGTGTACAACTGGGAGTCACAAGATGGCGAGAAATTTCTTCTTCCAGAGAGTGGTGAGCCTGTGGAATTCTCTGCCACAGAAAGTGATTGAAGCGACAACAATGAATATTTTCAAGAAAAGGATACATATAGTCCTCAGGGCTAAAGAGATCAGAGAATGTGGAGAGAAAGTGGAAACAGGGTACTGAGAAGGATGATCAGCCGTGATCACATTGAATGGCAGAGCAAACTTGAAGGGCTGAATGGCCTACACCTGTTCCTATCTTATAAGTACCCTGTTCCCACTTCCTCCCCATACCGTTTGATACTTGTAGCCCTAAAACTGTATTTAACTTCTTGAAGACATTCAATGTTTTGGCCTTAACTGCTTTCAATGGCAGAAATTTCCACAGGCTCACCCCTCTCTGGATGAAGAAATTTCTCCACATCTCAATTTAAATGGCCTAGCCAGTATCGTTAAATTGTGACCTATAGTTCTGGACTCTTTGGTCATTAGTCACATCCCCTTCCTGCATTTAAAAACCAAAAGAACTGTGTATGCTGTAAATCAGGAACAAAAACAAAATTGCTGGAAAAGCTCAGCAGGTCTGGCAGCATCTGTGAAGGAAAAACAGAGTTAACGTTTCGGGTCCGGGTTCAATCCCATTTCGGGTTCAGAGGAAGAGTCACCGGACCTGAAACGTTAACTCTGTTTTTTTCCTTCACAGATGCTGCCAGACCTGCTGCGTTTTTCCAGCAACTTTGTTTTTATCCCTTGCTGCATTACTTTGTTTAGTCCTGTTAGAATATTTTAGCTTCCCAAACCCCTCCTCCATCTCTCTGTCTGCCTTCCCAGTTCCTCTTCATATATCAGTCTGGTGAACCTTTGTAGCTGAATGGCCTACTTCTAATCATAATGTTTATATTTGTATATTCGTAGCCTGATAATTCAGTGACTGTGGACAACTGTCAATCAGCTATTTCATTGGTAACAGCTTACAGCCTCTGGTTGGATCTTTACCTGTGAACACCATTTGTTTTTGAGAATTCAGTATTGCACTCACACATACTTCACCTAAGAGTAGTTCAGTGATGATCAGGAGGGCGAGGTTTGAGATTTCCTTCTCGACAGTGCTCTGGCTAAGATCAGTTAAAAACATCGACCAGGCATCAACCTCAAGCTCTGCTGCAAGTGTTTTACGTGGTGGAAAATGTCGTGTACTTTTAGAGAGTTTATTAAAACAATGATGTTGACCAGATCTTTTGCTTCTCCAACTTGGAAATAACATGACATGCTTGCAGCAAACAATGGCAAAGCAAATGGTCATTTGGCTCCTAGCTACTACTATATATGGAACGGACTTAAAAATCCAACCGAATATGGTTTACTACAAGTAGTATCACTGTAGCTGGGTACAACTGCGAATGCCAACTAGGCCCTGACTCCCTCTTATGTTCTGGGATAACAAATTTTCCTAATGGTGTAGACTGTAAGCACATCTGAGACTTGGGTGAGCAAGATTCCTGATCGCTGTCTGTGTAGTTCCAACTATTGGTCATTCCAAATGTTGGGAAGTGAGAAGGAGAAGATTAAGAGTATGAGGGATGGATTCGGATGCGGTCAGTCTAACGAGAAAGTAAGAAATACTTGAGCCTACCTCATCATCATTAGATAACCATTTCAGGTATCTATCCAGTAAACTTCCTCTGAGCTGTCTCCAATGCGCTCATATCCTTTCTCAAATACGGGGATTGAAACGTACTCTATTTAAATATGGTTACATTGATGCCCTGTATATAAGCATAACATTCTTATATTCAATTTTTCTTGAAATAAAAGTTAGCATCTCTTTAGCCTTCTTGATTTACATGGTACACCTGCATACTGACTTTTAGTGACTCATGAATGGGAACACCTATATGCTTCTGTGCCTCAGATATCTGCAGTTGTTTTCCATTTAAGTATTACACTGCTGTTTTATGCTTTCTGCCAAAAATATCACATTTTCTCACAGTATACTCTGTATTCCAGATTTTATTCTCCTCACGCAACATGTCTGTATCCATCTGCAAACTTCTTTTGTTGTTTTCTAATCATATTTTCATATCTATCTTTGTGTTGTCTGCATTTTTTTTTCTGTATTCATTCATGGGATGAGGGCATTACTGGCTAGGCAGCATTTATTACCCATCCCTAATTGCCCAGAGGGCTGTTAAGAGTGAGCCACATTGTTGTGGGTCTGGAGTCACATGTAGGCCAGACCAGGTAAGGATGGCAGTTTCCTTCCCTAAAGGACATTAGTGAACCAGGTGGGTTTTTCCAACAATCAACAATGGATTCATGGTCACCATTAGATTCTTAATTCTGGATATTTATTTAATTCAAATTCGACCATCTACCGCGGCAGGATTTGAACCCGGGTCCCCAGAATATTATCTGGGTCTCTGGATTAACAAACCAGTGATAATACCATTATGTATGACCCCCATGGTCACCATTAGACTAGCATTTATTTCCAGAATTTTGTTGAAGTCAAATTTCACCATCTGCAACGGTGGCAATTGAACCTGTGTCTCCAGAACATTAGTCGAGGGCTCTGGGTTATTAATCCAGTGATATTACTACAATCCACCCTCTCCCCTCTAGGATTACGCTCTACACCATTAGCTCTGCACAGTAATCTTTGAGGCTTCTGATCAAGTGCCTTCAAGAAATCTGAATACAGTACAACCACAGCATGTTTCTTTCTCAAAGAATTCTGTTAAATTTGTTAAGCATGATTTCCTTTCAACGAAATCATGCTGAATCTTCCCACTTAACTTGGGCATTTTTAAGTGCTGGTTTTTGAACTACAAAAGATAGTCAATGCAGAAATGTTTCTGCTTGGGAACAACATAACTGAGAGGCCATCAATACAAGATAGTCACCAAGAAATCCAACAGGAAGTTCATAATAAACTTTCTCGCACAAAAATACCTAAAATTGTGTAACTTGCTACCAGAAAAAATGAATAGTACAGATCCAGTTAAGAAGTTATTTAAGCATACATAGGAGAAGGGAATTGATAGTTATCATGGTAAATTTAAACAAGAAACATTGGAAGAGCTGCAAGTGGAACATTCACACTGACATGGACTGGTTGGACCAAAACAATCAGAATTTATTGAATTGATGGAGAAATTTAGAGTGAATCAAGTTTTAAATTTATATATTGCTTTGTTTCTTGCAGTGAAACGTTTCCGAGAACCAAAGTACGAGAGGCGACCATGGAAGATATGGCGAGTATTGAAATGTTACTAAAATAATCATTCTTATTTATTAGTTGTGGTGTGGAATGGTCACTTAGGAACATAAGAACAGGAGTAGTCCATTCAGCCCATTAAGCCTCCCCCACCATTTAATACAATTATGGCTGACCGAGGACTTCATTCCCTTTTAATACCTCCATCCCCATAACCCCGTGTCATGTTAGCTAGAGGGGCAAGAGTAGAGAGTACAGACCCTTGATCCTGCTCCATCATTCAGTGTGATCATAACTGCACCTCTCCTCCAATTGCACATTCTCTCCTGTTCCCTTATCTCTCAAAAATGTATTTCAGCTTGAATGTCCTCCCTGATGGAGCATCCACCACCTTCTAGGGAAGTGATTTACAAAAGATTCACAATCTAATGAAGACATTTCTTGCCCTAGTCCTAAATGATTGATCCTTCACATTGAGGTTGTTAACTCCAGCCAGGAGGAACACCCTCAGTGTCAATAACAAAAACAGAAATTGCTGGTGAAACTCAGCAGGCCTGGCAGCATCTGTGGAAAGAAAGTAGAGTTAATGATTTGAGTCAGTTGACTCTTCATCAGAATTCAAGGACCTCAGTGTCTACCCTGTCAAGCCTTTCCAGTATCTCCTTCAATTTTTGCACTTTCCATTGGCTGTACCATTGCTGATAATTTGTAATGGTGTTTAGGAAATGACATTTGACAAAGTAGTTATTATGTATTCTTGCCTTGCCCAGAGCCTCTAAGCATATGTACTAACTGTCCCTAATAGGAGCAAAACCACCTCTGTTGGTGGAGGATTTTTGTTTCAATTAATGTTGGCTGTCATTCTGTTCCCATATTTTCTCTTTGCCAGTTTTATTTTCCTCTTCATCTTTCTTCTCAACTAATTGTATTTCACCTGGTTTCACGAGAATTCACTTGACATGCACCATGTGTCTTTTTTTGCTTCATAATCTCTGTCTCCCTCATCATCCAGGGAGCCCTGTTTTTGGCTTCCTTAGCTTTTGCCTTTTTAGATTTTATTAAATTTGTACCTGAAGAATCTGTTTCTTACGAATAACCCATTGTTCCATGACAGATTTTCCTGCCTGTTTCTGGTCTCATTGTATTCTGGCTGGATCTCTTAAGTTCTAAATTAGAATTTGCCTTACTAATTTCCATTGCAAATGTAAACTTTATGATACATTAATTATCTTACCCAAATGTTGCCCACTTTGTCTGTCTCATTCCCCAGCAACAGATCCAGATGTGGTGATAATACAAGACCTGAAGATATAGGAACAGAATTAGGCCATTCAGCCCAGCAGGTCTGCTCTGCCATTTGATCATGGCTGATATATTTCTCAACCTGATTCTACTGCCTTCTCCTTGTAACCCTTGATCCCTTTACTAATCAGCAACCTATCTATCTCTGTCTTAAATATACTCAATGACTTGGCCTGCAGAACTATCTGCAGCAATGAACTCCACAGACTCAGCACCATCCGGCTGAAAAATTCTTCCTCATTTCAGTCCAAAGGGTCACCTCTTCACTTTGAGGCTATGCGCTGAGGTCCTATTGTCTCCTACTAGTCCACTCTAGAACATAGAACATTACAGCGCAGTACAGGCCCTTCGGCCCTCGATGTTGCGCCGACCTGTGAAACCAATCTGAAGCCCATCTAACCTAAACTATTCCATTATCATCCATATGTTTATCCAATGACCATTTAAATGCCCTTAAAGT